GTTTGTATGGGGCACTGAGGACTCTGAAGAATATTGCCTGAGAAATGTAGAGCATCAAAGAAACACTCACAAGTCTGGATTCTCATACTGTAAACCAACACTCTTCACCTGCATTTTCCCTCAGGGCCTTAGTGAACGCCTACAAGTTGCAGCCTACCCCCGGGGTTCAGAAGGTTGGCATTGGCCTCTTCTTTACGGTCGTGGATTACATCAGCGACGAGACCCAGCGTCACCCTCCCACAAGGCAGTTCTTCACTTCCTGCATTGAGATTTTGGGACAGGTAAGGGTATTCTGTGTTGGTGGCCTTCTTCCGGTATAATGAGTCCCTACAGTGTCCTCATTAGATATAGCCGGGGTTGACTTCAGACTGATAGTGTAGGTTCAGAGGCTTACCTAATTATTGGCTTCTCAAGATGTGATTAGAATTGTTGGTATAGGATTTTGCTTCTCATACAAGCGATAATCAATTATTCATATTTGAAAGCCTCTGGGGAGACATTAGATTCCATCTTATGCTGTTGGCGGTGTTACTAACACCATCACTGAAGCTCTTTATTGTTTATAAAATGCTTTCTGATTCATTATTTTATCCTCATGGTGACTGTGATTGATATCATTCTCATCTTAAAGATGACAAAACTGGGCTCTGAAAACTTAAGTGACTTGCGTAAAGAATTGCAGCTGGTGAGTGCTGGAGCTGAGATGGTCCTGGGTCTTCTGACTCAGTGTTCAGCGCTCACTCTACCTCCTGCTGCGGCCTCTCAGCTGCTATTCTCGGTAACTTTAAATATAAAGTTAAAATAAATATAGATATTTAACAAGAGCAAGGGCAATGTATCCCTGCAGATTTGGAAAGGAAAGCCACTTGTCGGAAAATATGTAAACACTAATCAACCATGTACTGTCACCCAAATTCAATTGATTGAGTCCTTATTTATTGGATGTTTACAAGGAGGTGATGCTGAGCAGATATTAAAATATATTTTTTAAATAGCTTTTTGCTGATTATAAAATTGATGTGTGCTTATTATAAGCAATGCAGACAGTATAGAAAATATAAAGAAAAAACATTTCTCAGAATCCTAACTACCTGGAGATACTGGTTACACAGCTAACATTTCATTATAGTTTGTCTCGTGTATGTGTGTCTCGTGTAGTGTATGTATGTATATGTGAAATTGGTGTATCATCCCTCCATACAGATAGATGGATAGATATAGACACACACTCAAAAACGGGCATGTGCTGTTTTGTAACCTACTTTTTTCATTCAAACACATCTTTTAGACATTATTCCATGTTAATGAATACAGACCTGTATCATGGTGTTTAATATATAGTGTCCAGAGGTACAGATACATTGTAATGTATCAAGATAGTGCCCTCTGAATGGATATGTAGGTAGTTTGTTTGTTTTGCTACAGTAAGCCTGAGATAAATATTCTTACACATCTTTGTGAACTTGTTGGACTTTTATTTTTAGGGTAGTTTCTTGGAAGTATGACTGCAATGTCAAAGGGACTAGCAGTTAATATATATTGTCACACTGCCCTCCTGGGAAGTTTGTACCTATTTACACTGTCATTTCAGGGTTTGAGTTCATTATTCTCTGTATCGTAACCTACAGTAGGAATGATCATTCTTTTTAAGTCTTGCTAATCTAATAGGGGCAGTGGTACTCTATATTATTTTAAGTTGTATTTCTTTAAGAATTTGTTAAGTTGAATGACTTGACAAGTCTTGGCCATTTATATCTTTTTTGTGATTTTCTGGTAATTGTCCTTTGCACATTTTGTGTTGGAGAGTTTCTTGTTTTTTTGGGGTTTTTTTTTATTTTTATTTATTTATTTTTTTTGCTTTGAAAGAGCTCCTTAGACTATTAACTTGGTATCTGGAGTGTGTTATAATTTTTCTACTTTGTCATTTTTCTCTAATTTTATGATACTCTTTGCCTTATAGAAGTTAAAATTTTTTATCAACTAAAATCTGTCAGCCTTGTCCTTTATTATTTCTGCCTGTGGTCAAGTTTATCAAAGCCTT